AGATGAAGTGATTAAAAAATAGTCTGGAAGACTTGCTTGATAACCATGACTACATGGTGAGGTGCTTAGCTTAGGTTGCAAGTAGGCTGCACCTAGAGAGCAACAAGATCACTAGTTTTAATGCTTTGCAATGTCTTCTTCCTCCCTTCTTGGTTCTTCTAGAATTTGTTTTTATCTCCTCTTGTCCCCTTCCTTATCTTTTCCACCCATTGACATGATTTTTTGGCACTTCTTCCTCAATAAAAGAATAACAATATCCAATTAACCAATCAGACAGCTTCCATATGAAAATATGGCTTCGTTCCTCCTTGTTGCTACTTTTGTTCTGCAAGTTGTTATATCAAGACAAAAACCGTAATCTTTCATTTAGCAATAAAAACAGGAATGCAGATGGTAGACTTTTGTCTAAGGTTTAAGTCTGTTTATCCCTGGTTTGCTTACCCATCGCACTACCTGATGGAGCAGAAACAGACTTTTCTCTTGTATAATGTTTACCAACAAAATCTTTCGTGTTCTAATGTTAAGCTCAATTTATCCCATAGTTTTTTTCTGACTTCTGGCCCATCCTTCTATTTCTTTCCTGAATGACTAGAAGCTATTTGATTTTTTCTTGTTTATCATTCTATCTCTAGATATTTTTCTGCTCTTAATCTATCTTGTCTTGTCATCTATCTATCTGCCTGACTCAGCCGGTTCCTATCAATGGAAAAATCTATATCTGCTCATATTTTTCTATCAGTCTGTAATAAAACTTTTTTTTTTCTGTTCATATCTTAATATATATCTCCTCCAATAACTTTCAGGCTTAGTTTATTGCTTATGAATCCAGATATATACCTATTGATCTTATCTATAGCAATAACTAAATTTCAGTCTCTGCATATCTATTGATCTTAATCTCTTCATATTATCAACATGGCTATATCAGTCTGTTCTCAGCTATCAGCTGATCCCTTGATCTATTTATCTTAATCTCTTCATATTATCAACATGGCTATATCTGTTCTTATCTATCAGCTTATCCCTTGATCTATTCATCTTAATCTCATAATATTATTAACATGGCTATATCAGTCTGTTCTCAGCTATCAGTTCATCTCTTGATCTATTCATCTTAATCTCATATTATTATCAACATGGCTATATCTGTTCTTACCTATCAGCTTATCCCATGATCTATTCATCTTAATCTCTTCATATTATCAACATGGCTATATCAGTCTGTTCTTATCTATCAGCTTATCTGTTGATCTATTCATCTTAATCACATAATATTTTCAACGAGGCTATATAAGTCTGTTCTCAGCTATCAGCTTTATCCCTTGATCTATTCATCTTAATCTCTTAATATTATCAAGTCTCTCTATCTCTGTTCTTATCTGCCTATCAATGTCAATCTATTATTATTCCCCTACAAACCATATACTATACCTACATCAGTCATTTTGTATATTGTGTATGGTATATTTTCTACTAGAGAGAACTAGAACCTTTGGTGTGAGCAACCATGTGGGAATAAGATTTAACTAAATGAATTGGTATACATTCATGGTAGAAGTACAGATTTCTGGAAAAATAAGCATATTATAAATTTATGATTGGTATTGTATAGTAAAAGTGTATTTATGCATATTACATTCTAAATTTTTAATAGTGTTTTTCTGAACATTTTGAATACTTAAAACATCATTTAAAAAACATTGAATCCTTTTCACTCTAAACTTATTCTTCTTCATGAGAGTCTTTAATTATAGGTAAAAACAAACTAGAAAGTGCTTCAAGTTGAATCCTCAAAGACGCTAATGGCCTTGAACCAGACAACCAAACTAAACAAAACAGAAAAGACATGGCACATGAAACTAGAACAATCAACCCCGGTGGACAAGATAAAGGGTTCGGTTTGAAATTCCAACATATATCACCTGAAGAAGGCTGGAGCGTACAACAGTCGAAACATCATGAATATGACAATAAAAATAAGGACAAAAGACCGAACAATGTAAATAGTGTACATAACAGTAGATATCTATATTTGAATTTTATTTTAAATAGTATTTTTTGTTTTGTTTAACAACCAGAATATTTGAGAAATCTTATTAAAGAAAGATGTGCCCTCCAGCAGTAGTCAAACCTGCATCCTCATTTGTAGGATAAAACATTATTTGACCCAACATGCTTTTGATCACTTGACCTTGAAGAGCTTCATAATTAAGCAAGATTCTATCTGCCTTTAAAGCACACTTTACACATTCAGATTTCTTTAAAAGTCATAATTGCTCAGTTTTGTATCTTAATGTAAATGAAGCAATTTCTAAAGAATTAATGGACTTTTATTTATTAATTTGGCATATTTTTATTACCTTAAACATTATTTTTAGTGGATGCCCATATTTAAGTAGACACTTTCATTTTAAACAATATTTTTTTTTGTCTGGTGGCTTGAACATTCAAGAAATCCTATTAAAGGAAAATGTGCCCTACAGAAGGATTTGAACTTATAGAATATATAGTGATATGCAAAAATATTGAACATATTGCACTTTTAAGGAAATAGTTCATATTATTACTACTCACCTAAAACTTGGGCTAAATTAAATACATAGGTGGTACCATGTATAAAGAGATAAGCAGAAACAAATGTATGAAATTTAAAAGGTTGCATGATGGTGTATATTATAGGTGTGTTCATGTGTAATAATGAAGAAGCATACAAAAATCTTGGGTTTCTACTATGGACCATTTATTTTCTGTTTTTATATAAACTGTTGTTGTCAATATATCTTTGGTATGTCGGTTTCCTTTCCTGTCCAGAAATTAGGGTACGTTAAGATAAGTATTGTTATAGTGGTCAAGCTCAAGTCAGCTATGCACAGAGTTGCGACCAAAGAAAAACTTGTACTTACTTCATTGTTGGAGCATTTAAGCATGGTTATAATGTTTGCGATGTCAGCTTAGCACTGAGTTAGAATGACCAAAGAAAGGGTTGATTTATTTCATAGGTGGAGGTTTTGGAAGGCTCATGCTAATGCCATCAGTTGGAAAGTGGAAAGAGAGTCCACTCATCAGTGGGCAGGGGAAAATGAATGTGTCCCAGCCGGAATGTCTTTTTCAACTTCCAGCTACATCTTGGAGCAAGAGGGAGAAAAAAAGAGGAAGAAAATATGTCTTTATATAGACTTAAGCAATGCCAAATAATAGTTGTTTGACAAAGCCAAGCGGGTTAATAAAATGCCAGGTTCCTTTATTATTAGCATTGTGGGAAAACGTATTTCTTTTTCTTTTTAATAATTCATTATTATTATTATTTTATTTACTAATTCTCATTTTATTTCATTTTCCCATAAATGTTTCCCTACAAGTAAACTTATTGACAAATACAACAAAAGGTAATATGTAAAAGTTTGGGAAACATTCTGAAATTATCTTTTAGTTCTCTTTTTTTTTCTCAATATGCCAATCATTTTTACCATTTTCTCTTCCTTTACTTGGAACATTTTCTTCTTTTTCTGCCTCTTTTTTTTTTACTGTTTCTTTCTTTTTGTTGTCATCTTCCTTTTCTATAACTCCCTCACTTTGTTCTTAACCTTTCTCACCCCTCTCTCTTTCTAAATGAAATCCAATATATACAAAACTAATTGTCTCTTTATTTTATTCTCTTTAGTCTTCTTTCTGTTTTTTTCTGGCTATACAGCTTCTTTTCTTCCTTTGCTGGTTTTATAAACTCTTTCAATGAATGTATTCTTGTTACTGTTTTCTTTCTTTTGCCATCAAACTCTTTCCTTTTAATCATTCTTCAGTCTTTGTTTTGCAGATTTTCTTTCCCTCAGGTCAATTCTCAGCACATCTTCAGCTCATTGTAAATAGAAATCATTTTGAAAAACTCCTTGAAAACCACAGCACCTGCTCATTGTGATTCATGGAACCATAATAGCCAAACTGCACCTGAAAAATGCATTCCGAATGGCAGACAATTGGTATTTGGTCACAGCAACTGCCTTTTAATCAATTTTACTTTAAAAATGTAGCTCAAAATAGAGATTTCAAAAATTCTTCAATATAAAATATTATCTGGGTAAATCATTTGAAATAAATTATTTATAACTAAGGATCCCTAAGTAAACATGATGTAATGTTTATCATTCAACTATTTCATGAAATTATAAAGAAACTGGATGTTTGAACAACCAGTGACATCACAAGCTGGATTTATTAAGCAAATGCACAAAAAGTTTCCTTCATATCTGAGATTAGCTCACTAAGCTAGACGCACATATTAACATGAAATCATTTTTTTTAACCATTTTATTCCATCCACGGCAATAAAAGCCATCAGAATGCAAGGGTTAATGGGAATGAAAGAAACAGAGAGGATAATAAAAGAGTAATAGATATAATGACTGATTGATTTGTTTTCTACGGTTTATCAACCCTTTGTAGGTTATTTAAAGTCAGAAAATATTTTAGATTGTAAGAATTTGGAGTGAGGGGAGATAATAATGGTTTAGTGATACACGTATTACTAATTAATCCATAGCTGGGGAAGAAGAAGTGGATTCATACCATTATTAAAATCATAAAGGAAGTGAATAAATAGGAAGTAGCATGATGACTATACGATCACTGTTCACTCTTCTTGTCTATCCACTATTGCTATACATTCACTCATTCGATGCTACTACTATACGGATTACGATTCTCTTCTGATCATTATACTATTTGGCAATTACTACTTGAACAAGTATTACTAGTGCAGATATTATTGGAAGGCGTTACTACTAGTACTGGTGTCTACGTAGTCTCGAATATAACAAGCATTTTGGAAGTGATAACAGGCTTTCACTTGACATAGAAAAAGTGACAAGTGAAGCTGTCCAACATCACAAAAATACCTTTGCAAAGAGTATTTGTGCATAAGTGAATATAAAAACTCAACAGGAATTAAAACTTGGCTCTCCAATTAACATTATTCCAAGCCATTATACACCACCCGCACATTCAAGCTTACAGCACCTGGTATACCCAAGAAGTCACCCATCTAGGTACTGACCAGGCTCAACATTGCTTAACATTGATGATTGTACAGGAACCAATGTTTCAACATGATATGGCCATAAGCTTGGAGATTCAAGTAGGCAGAAGATGATGACTGACATTGCATTTAAAGAGGAAAAATAAGGCTATGGATATATTGATGTACTGCATATATGATACAGTGAATATTAAAAGTGTAACAGAAATTCAGTGGAAATAATTTCATTATAGAAATGCATACCTTTCCCAAATGCATTTGCATGTAAATGAACATAAAACTGATTGGAATTTGAACTATGCTCTCTAGTTTCTCATTCTGAATCACTATCCATTACACCACCTGCACATCCACACACACACACACACACATATATATATATATATATATATATATATATATATATATATGAATGATGAAATATACTTTTAAGATATGATATATTTATGGGTTAAAGTATTCAGTATCAGGGATAGAGTGTATGTAAATATGCAAATGGACATTGCGTTTAGCATGAAGCAGACTGTCACTTCTGGGTGTTGACTTCAATGTCAGCTTTTATATTTATATATACTTTCAATCTCATCTGAAACCATCTTCAGGGGTTGCATATCTATGGATGTGTTATGTATATTCAAAATATTTTTTTACCTCAATGCAAGGGAGGTAACGTAGTAGATTTTTTTTTTGAAGATGTTTCAAAAATATTTTTAAAAGATTTTTTTTAATTGTAGTATTTTTAATTTAGTATTTTTTCTATAACACTTAACTGCAACTGTTTATGAGTCTTTTAGAATTTTTTCATCCTGCTTATAGTTAGAATGCATTTGATTATTGTATTTGATATGTTTAGTATTATTTGAGGTTAGCTTCATTTTTTATGTTAATATTAAAAATCACAAAGGTTATCTCCCTTGCATAGAGGTAAAAAAAAAATAATTTGAAATTAAAGTATTAACGCATAGCACATACATAGATATGCAACCCCTGGAGATGGTCTCAAATGAGATTAAAAGGACTTGTGAAAATAAAAATTATTTAAAAGAAAATTTTGGAATTTTTCCTAATCAATTTTCTACAGCCACCAAGAAATTAATTTGTGGATTTGATAGGATTATCAAATTAAAAAGACATATCAAGTTCCTTAATCTTTTAATTAACAAATTATTGCACTGTGTCTTCCTTACATTCCCAGATGCAAAGGCATTTCTGATTTCCTTAAATAAATGTCTCTATTAACTACAGAGTAAGAATAAAGAGCATGCTTTGACCCATGTATTTTTTATAATACTTATATAAGTTGCTTTACAATCTGCCCATCCTAATGCTTCTCACCTATGATAATCTAAAGAAAATAGTTTTTACTATTCAAGGATGGATTCTCTGACTTTAATAGAAACTGCTCTGTGATGCATGCTTCAAGTGATGCCCAGGGCATCTGTCATTCCTGCTGTACTTTAGATATATTACTGCATATACATATATATATATATATATATATATATACATACACACACTCACAGACATTTTACTTATACTTACATCCATACAGATATATATAAATACAGACATGTACATGTAGCATATTTACACACACACACACCACTCATATATATATATATATATATATATAAAAACAAATACAGGGTGATTGAAAAGTAACTCTCTATTTTATGTATGAGTGGCCAGTCAGGAGACCTGACAACACCCTATGACTTTTTCTTTGGGGTTGATTAAAGGAGCAAGTCTACTATACCAAACCAAGACTTTGGAAGAACTTGAAGGATAAATACAAGAAGTTATGTCTTTCATACTACAAAAGTTCTTGATGAAATCAATTGATGCGATTTCTGGGTGGCTTGAGAAGCTGGTAACAAAATCTGGTGCCCATATTGAATTTTAAATAAGACCTCATGCTAAAGGCTTTCCTCTCATATCCATTTCTTTTAAAAAATTATAGTTGTAAATAAATTATAAGCATTTTAAAATGGAGAGTTACTTTTCAATCATCATATATATATATATATATATATATATATATATATATATTATGACAAATTGATTATTCTTTCATGCTCTATATATGCAATATAATTATATATATATATATATATATATATATATATATATATGTATGTATATATATATATATAGATACACCTAGTGAGCCAGACAAACCTACCTAGGTTTCACCTAAACGGATCGTCAGGGAAAGTTTGGCTAACGAGGCAAAGAGAAACACATATTTAAAACACTAACCAGCTATTAAACTCTAAAACTGAAATTCTTAATGTATGTAGACATAAAAAATCTTGGCTACGAAATTAGACGTTTTCCCGTTATTGACTTTCCACTGAGGATTTTTTTTTTTTTTGTTGTTGAATAAATATTTACCCCCCCCCTTAGGTTTTTTTTTTTTTTTTTTTCACATGGTATGATTTTAGCTATCACCTATAAATATGTGTTTCTCTTTGCCTCGTTAGCCAAACTTTCCCTGACGATCCGTTTAGGTGAAACCTAGGTAGGTTTGTCTGGCTCACTAGGTGTATCTAGGTCTGCTCTACGGTTGTATTGAGCTCTTTTGTTAGTTAGTTGTTACTCGTATCGGGGTTTTTTTTTTTTGGGCTTCAGACCTGCATCTGTGCGATTTTTTGTTGGCAGAAGTTCATGTTTGTAGCTCTTTCTTTTTTAAAACCTTTTTTTCCTCGAGATTGATTTGATTAGCAAATCAAAAATTCGAGGGTTTTTCGAAACGAGTCTAGTTATCTATATATATATATATATATATATATATATATATATGGCAAAGAAGGAGTTTATCAAAATTTGTATTTACAATTATGCACATTGGTTCTTTAAACAAGAGAAATAACTCGTCATCATCATTTTGAGTGTTATTAATTTCATTACAGGCTGTTTTCTGTAATTTTTCTTCATGTTAAGAAGCTATTACTTAAACGTTATTTTTAGTGAATACCCATAATTGAGTAGACGCTCCATATTAAACTATATATTTATTTTTGCCTAAAGTCCTGAACATTCAAGAAATCTTATTAAAGAAAAATATGTACCCTCCAGCAGCTTTAATATAATTTCTTGAACATTCAGACCAATAGACGAAAATTAATAAATATATTGGTTAATAAATAAACAGAGCATCTACTCAAATATGGGTATCTGCTAAAAATATTGTATAAGTAATAAAATCTGATGGATTAATAAGGAAGCATATTCGCAGAAAAAAAAACTGAATTTTCACCTCTATTTAAATATCTGACAATCACATCAAACTTTTAAAATATTTTATCATCGCCTCAAAAAACCCATCAGTTAAATTATAGCACTGTATTTTCCTTATTTTTACTGATACAAATTGTTTTCAGAAAGTCTTCATTAACTACTCATCAAAGTAAGATCAAAGTGTCTCTTTTGATGCATGCATTTTTACTTAATAATTTATATAAATTGTTTTATAATCTGCCAATCCTAATGATAATCTATGATAATCTAAAGAAAATACATTTTACTATTCAAGGATGGTCACTCGGGCTTTAATAGAAAATATACAACAGTGTATCTCTTCAAGTGATGCCCAGGGCATGTGTCATTCTTGCCATGTTTTAGATATGTCACACTATATAAATACAAGAATTTATTTAATATTTACACACACACATTGAATATATTTGCAATAAACTTTGCTATAAACAGACAGTTTTCAAAATATTTCACATCATAACTTTGGAGGTATGATTTTTCAAATGCAAGTGGATGACAGAAAGTGATTGAAGGAGGTGAAGAGTCATGAAAGGCACATAGAAAGAAAAGATGCTTTCATATTTGATCTTCAAAAATTTAAATGATGTATCAGTTATTTCCTTCTGTCTACATGATTACTCTTCTATTGTTTTTGTTCCTTAATAATGTTTCTTTTTTCTAATTCTTTCACACTCAGTAACCCCTTGTAACTGAATGGCTTTACTGCCTTGCATGTGGTGAAATGACAACATATATATGTGTGTTTGTGTGTGTGTGTATGATATTGGATCAATGATTGCAATAAGTGATGTAAAGTTGTTAGCTGAAATTTAATCTGAAATTTTCACTGTATAATATTTGTTGTGTCAGCAATATTCATCCTGAATTAAGTGCATTGACAAGGACAAGATTATGTTGAAAAAGAAACAGCCATTGTATAAAATAAATGCATATATTTATCATTATGTTGAGATTATTGATGTATACCCGCACATACACACTTAGATAGATAGATAGATAGATAGATAGATAGATAGATAGATGGATAGATAAAATAATGGATAGTTGCTCGTTTGCAAGTACATCCATCAGCTAGGGGTAGAGGCTAGATAATCTCTGATGCAAATGCCTGCTCAGGTAGTTTTTGTAAACCTTAGGTCCAGTTTCTCGGAAAGATTGGATAATCTGGCATGTACAGTAGTTGAACAAGGCCAGTGCTCTCAAATCCTCAGTCTTCTGAAAAGAAGAGGACATCAACATCATTGGTTGCTAGTGTGCAGGAGTTGTCTCCTAGAAAGATGTCCCAATAAGGTCTAAATGGCCCCTCTCTCCCAACGGTTCTTACTGGTAGCATTGAGGGGTCAATGAGTGACCTTCATTCTTTGGGTTCATTATTTACTCACTCATGGCTACACTCACGGTAGAACAGCAGCAGTTGAGGTGGTTCAACACTCTTCAAAAATTCCAATCTCCCAATGAGAGGTATTATGGGCAGATGTAGTTTATATATACATATATATATATATGTTTCATTAAAAATGACTGACAGGGTACTGCAGCAAAGTTTTTTATTTAATTTTTCTTGTGTTCTTATAATTTTCTTCTTTTCTGGACCTAAATTATGTAGAAATTGTCCAAATGTTCTGTATACCCAAGTGCTTTCGGCTATACTTTTAGCCATTATCAAGATGATTTTATTTTTGCTTTTAACTGAATGTGTGGATTTTTTATGTTTGCATCTACAGTTAAAGGAATGTTTTATTTTCTAAAGATGGTCAGCACATTGTGGCCATGTTCATAGTTGATATTATTGAGTGTTGGCTTTT